GTCCAGCCCGGGGTCGTCACATGTGGTTGCCGCAAGCCCTCCGGACGCTCCTTCGTCGAATCTGCCGGCCGCGCCGTTTTCAAGCCCGCCCGCCTCTGCTCACTCAAGCCGGCCTCCGCTCACTCTAGGCCGCGGCTCACTCTCGGCCTCCGGCCTCCGCTCACTCAAGGCCGTGGTGTGTGACACTGTTTCGTTGTGAAATGAAACTACTTTGTTTGGCCTTCCAAAAGAGGACACGACTAGAAATCAGTGGTTAAGTTGTATTCTTTTTAGCAGCATCATATGACCCCTTTAATGTTTTAGATTTTTTTAGATGGTCTCTTATGCTCACCAAGCCTGCATTAAACTGATCAAAATCACAGTAAAAACAGTAATTTTGTGGAATAATATTACAATTTTAAATAACTTTTTTTTTTATCTATTTTGAACATACTTTAAAATGTAATTTATTCCTTTAATGGCAAAGCTGAAAACAATGCTGAAAACAGGTGTGCTACTTAATATTTTTGTGGAAAATGTGATACCTTTTTTCCATGATTCTTTTATGAACAGGAAGTTCAAATGAATATCATCTTTGTAAAAGTATAAATGTCTATAAACTTTGAACCAATTTAATGCATCCTTACTAAATTAAAGTATCGATTTGGGGGAAAAAAATCATAATGGCCCCAAACGTTAGAACGATAGTGTTTATACATTTTTTTGTGTATTCGATTTGAAATTTTTAAATTAATTTCCATTGTGCTTTTTTAGTTTCTTACACCATGAATGCCACATACTGAAGACACCATGTCAAGCTGAATGTAGTTCTTTTTTTTTCTTTCTTCAATTAATCGCACTAAATCAATGTATGGTCTAATATAAATATTGAATAATGGGGTGAAAATTGGACATTGTGGGTATGGAAGGTGGAAGATCACAATCTAAATGTTAATGATTTTGTGCAGTACAGTTCAGCACTATTTCATAGTAAGAAGTGGAAAAACAGATTTTTAAAAATGTCAACAGGGAAATAAAATGATGGCAATATGTGGAGGAGAGATGGATAAAGGTGTAATTTTATGTGTTAGCTTCCTGCTGCTCCTATATCTGAGGAGCTTTCGGAAGGACAGTAATTGGTAAATGGTATGCAGACTTCAGCTTTTCATTTCAAGTGTCACATACTAATTAGCTATGTCTTCCCCACTGTCTGCTTAATGGTAATTACATTCTCTGTACATTTCCCGTCTGTGTGAGGCACAATCTATCAGCCCCATCCCCCATCACACACATTCAAGAACACACAAGCAGATGTGCAAGGATTACGTGCATTTCATAAGATAAAGATCAAAAATCTGTTATGCGACTTCTGTATTTGTGCCTTTGTCACACACCAACATTCATGGTCATTTCTACACTCCTTACCTTACTGTTCTCTGACGGTGGTCCCTCAAGAGCTCCATTGATGAGAGCAGAAGAATCCTCAGTTATAGTATCTCTGTATCTGGTGATCCTATTGGCCCAGTTCCGACTAACGGATCCATTCCAGGCTGGCTGATTTTGGAGCAGAAAGAGAAAACTGAAAGACTGAAAATACTAAAATATGAAAACATTTTCATAGATCAACATATTTTGTTGGTCTTGGAATATGCTTATCAAACAACACAGTCCTATCCCAAATAAAACCAAACCTTTTTCCTATCCCTCCAATCTCATTGGCTGATAGGAACCTTCTAACCAACAAGGATGCATAGTTGGGAAAATGGTTGTATGGTACATCAAATTAGTGTACTGTAGATGCTGGCACAGTTAACTAGAGTAAATGGCAATGCTCACCTTGGATTCTGCAAGGCCATCGTCAGCCCCTTCTATGTTACCCATGAGACTCTGTTGCTCAGTGAGGTCTGTGAGGGGTTTGTTGGGGTCTTCTGCACTAGAGGGCATGAGGGTTTCCAACTCATGGCAGTCAGGCGCAGTAGCAGGCACTGGACGGGCACCCTTCCTGTACGGAGGACTCAAAGAACTCGAGTCAAGTCCACCAGACACATCCCTAAAAGTGACAGAGAGGACGATCATTAAATATCACTTATCGTCTTTATTTATAATGCTAAGTTAAGTGGTTTACACTTCTATAAAGCATCAGCAAATGAATGCAGAACCCTGAGGCACGTCTCTGTGGTATATATGTAATAGGTGGTAACATCAAAGACATCATAAAGTACATTTAAAAAATTTCTTAAAAACAGTTAATAAATGTATATATTAGTGTTCAACCGATATATTGCCAAGGCCGATATATCAGATGATATTTGTCAGTTTTCAAATTTCGGCATCGACGATAAGTTTTTCAGTTTGTCCGATGTGTTCGAGGGGGGACTTTTATTTTGACGGTGCTGAGAACTGCATCACCTGAGCACACAGCACTCACATTCTGTTAAACAAAGGTATACAAAAAAGTATTATAACGATTGCTTTTATATTAGTAAAAGAAAGGCAAACATTATAATACTTTCTCGTTTGCCGTCAGCATTCAGCAAATACGCATTTATATAATTCGGTTTTCATATTCATTTTAGTTCAAGTTTTAAAAATTTCGTTCAAATTTTGTCACATGCTTTATCATTTGTATAATTTATTATATTTCTATATTGCTTTATTTTTTATTAGTTTTTGTTAACTTACTTCAGTTAGTTGTCAAGGCAATATTTCATTTTTATATAATTTTTTTAAATTTATTTCAGCTTTATTTCAATAACAGAAAAATAATTGTAGTAGTTTCAGCATTAATTAATTATAATAATTATTATTTATTTATTTTTTCCGAACACCAGTGACTTTCATTGTATGTATGGACAAAAGCAGAAGAAACATTCTTAAAAATATATTTTTTGTTCCGCGCAATAAAGAAAGTCATACAGATGAACAATGACAGCATTTTCAATTTTGGGTGAATCATTTATAACCAATGAAGTGATCTAAACTCATGGATCTTACAAAATTTGAAGAGGCGCATACCGTGTTTTTCCATTGCGGAAACTGACACACATGCAGAGTAGGATGCAGAGCAGACCAACACACACTCCAACTATGATACCAGTCACAGCATGGATATCCAGCTCTGTAGGAGAGTGAGTGAGAGAGAGAGAGAGAGAGAATGCATGACAGAAGTGTACAAATCAGTCATCGAATAATTATACATAATTAAACTTCATAGTAATTCAACGCAACTGAATCATACTTAAGCATAATAATGAAATTTTAATTACAACACAATGTGTTATATTAATTATAACTCATTTTAGGACTGGTGTATGTAAGTCTGTGTGAATTTCTGTGGCCAACTCCCCGCAGACGGTGTGTGTGTATGAGGCTGGACTGAATCACTTCACACTCCCTGTGGGAGTGCTATTAATTGAGTGTCAGTGATGGGCAGAGGCAGATGGCAGTCTCTACATACGCATATACACACACACACACACACACACACACACACACACATATATACACATATCCTGTGATGCCTCATGCAGATTCAGAGAAACTTAACTGGCATTATAAACACAGAAACACATTAGAAAAACATTATATACACACAAAGATACATATAAGCACAAATCAGTGTTACTTGCAGGTTCATGTTTTTGAGCTAAAGTATATGCTTCCATTTTTTGACCGCAAATGTTCACATATCAGCCAAGTTTTCTGTAGCTCAAAGAGTACTGCAAGGCCATGGGTTTGATTCAGTTGATTGTATACCTTGAATGAGGTGTATGCCGCTTTGGATAAAAGAGTCTACCAAAGGCACAAGTGCAAATGTAACATAAATGTATAAATATATTACATTAATGTAAAGATTATGAGGTTTCAGTTAGTAGCTATGGGAGGCTGATTCTTTTATACTTCCATTGAAAATCTTTGTGGTGGTTTGCAGAATCTCTCTCTCTCTCTCTATAAAGGTCTACTTACACAAAAACAAATGATCACTGTAAAAACAGTAAAAAAAAATGTATTTAATGATTTTGAAAGGAGTCTCTTATGCTCACCAAGGATGCATTCATTTGATCAAAAATACAGTAAATTTTTTTGAAAAGAATGGCATTTATTTGAAACAGAAATATTTTCACATTATACATTTCTTTATTGTTACTTTTGATCAATTTAATGCTGAATAAAACTAATAATTTCTTTTTTTTTTTAATCTTTCTGACCCCAAACTTTTGAACAATAGTGTATCTATTTAGAGGTAAAAACTCACCTGGTAATTAAAAAAAAAAAAAAACTGCAGGG